CATGAAAGCATCTGCGGGCACTTGCAAGACGGAGTGAAGTGGCACTTGCTCGAAGATGTGATTGTCAAAATCCTCGGGCACAAAGACTTGGTCAGCCACTTTCTTCTCCTTCACCAGGTGGTAGTCCTCCACCAAGTGCACGATGAACTCGCCCTTCTGTCCCAGGGTTGCCGGCTCAAACTTCAGGTCATCGTCATACGCGATGATCTTGGCACCATAGTTGATGGTGATGTTGAAGCTTTCCAAAGCTGGCCTGCCCAGCAGGCATGGAGTTGAGCCTTCCATGACATACATCAGGATGTCCCTTCTTTTATTCTTGAAGAAGGTTGGCACCAGGACACAGAGGGTCGTGACGTCGCGGTTGCCATTGCCGAAACGCAATCCCTTCTCACACTTCCGTGCAGGAATGGCTGCGATGTCACAGCCTTTCATCAGCAGTGCCTTCATCAGCCGGCGAAGTTGCTGCATGCCAATGATGACTGATGCAGCTCCACAGTCAAACATGGCAGTGTCATCGGGCTCCGATTCAGTTCCATCCTCGTCGAAGATGTTCACCTCCTCGATGTTGGAGTCCATGACCATGTGGATCTCGTTCTCGGGGTCTGTCTCAGCCTTACGCTTATTCTGAGCTGCTGGACAGTTCGCTGCCATGTGACCAGCACGGCCACATCGAAGACATTTAATGGCTCCGAGGGCAGCTTTTCCTCGTGCTTTGGCTGATGGTCGTGGCATCTGCTTGCTTTTTCCCTTGGACTTGCCTTTCTTGCCTTTTCCTTTGCCAGCACCTCCCACATAGCCCTTCTGGTCGGGGATGATGGCGACGACGGGGTAGTAACCTCGGCTGACTCGCAGCTGATTCAACTTGGATCTGGCCTCCACATAATTGGCCATGATGTCATCATACTCTGAGGCTGCATCCATTGCCAACAGGATGTCATCGTCAGCCTCATGGTGAATTAGGATGTCATCGTCAGCCTCATGGTGAATTGGCTCATCGTCGATCCATGGTGCTTGGCTCATCGAGTCATCTGGTCCAATCTCCCAGGACTCTTCATCTTCATAGTAGGCGTCACCGGGCTCGGGGTCATAGCTCCAGGCGTCCTCGGACACAGTGTATATTGAGTCCTTCATCTTGTTGAAGCGGTGATCTCGGCTTCCTGAAGCACCTTCGGGTGTCTGGTCTTGGCCGACGACGAAGTTCACCGCCTTTCTCACTGAGTCAAGGGACAGCGTTGAGGTCGTAATCGTGCTCATGATCAACTGACGTTGCTGTTGGGAGAGTCCAGCGCGTCGCAAGTAGTACCAGCCAATCACCTTCTTGGGGAGTTGAACTTCGTGGGCAGCAAGCCGTCGAAGCTGTCGCTCGAAGTTAGCTGTGTACTCTTGCATCGTTTCGTTCCTCTTACGCTGCATCTGGATGAAGAAATTCTCGAAGTCCTGAGGGAGTTCAGTGATGGCATCGTACTTGAACACGGCGTCCAACCGCGTGAGAATTTCTTTCATGCCTCTCTCACTCTCCAATACCTCCATGGTGAGGTCCTCGCAGGCGTCCCAGGCTCTGTTCTTCAGGGAGCTCATGACGTTGAAGGCAGTTTCTGTCTTTCTTCCCGCAAGATCCATCTTGCGTTCATAGAGGAGTACTCTCTTGCGGTACTCTTTGTAGTCATTTGCTTTTCCACTGAACTCTGGAATGAGCTCATGTGCTTTGCCGGTATAGGATGAAGATCCTCCGGCTCCATTGGCCGCGGCTGCGGCCGAGGCTCCAGAACTTGCCATAGGTGAAGTCCAGGATGAAGTGTGTGGATGTGTAGCGCTCGCCAATGCAAAATCTTGGTGTCAAAGTCCAGAATCGCTGTCTTGGGCTCCGCTACCAACAACAGGTAGTCAAGGTTGTAGCACACGAAGTCTCAACCGCTTATGACGTACGATCGTGGTCGACCGATCCCACACACTTGTGTGGGGGCTAGGGTGGCGTAGCCGCTGACTCTTTTCACGCTCGAGCAGCCCGCCGCTGCGGGGTTTGGTTAAGTGCATGAACATGCCTCCAAGTGTATGGATACACTTCACAGGGGTAAAAAACTTGTAACAGGGAAGTACAAGTCCTATGCAGCAAGCAGCAGCCAGCAGCAGCAGCAGCAGCCAGCAGCCAGCAGCCAGCAGCAAGCAGCAGCAGCAGCAGCAGCGGCGTCGTCAGCAACAGCAGCAGCAGCACCAAGCCGCAACAAGTAGCAAAGCAGCAGCTACAAAAGCGGCAACCTCAGGCAGCAGCAGACAGCAGCAGCAAGCAGCAGAGCGGCAGCAGCAGCACCGTTTTTCACCAAAACCAACCACGTTCACACGTTCAACCAACCCCCGCTACACGGCGCAACTGGGAGTCGAACCGTCGGGGGGGGGAGGGAGGGGGGGTAAGCGTGATATATCAAGCTTTAAGGCGCACAGTTCATCCCACTACCAATTGCTAAAGCAAAGAAGAACTCAGCTAGCATGCTAGCTTTCGTGACTTTGCCAAACCACACATGTCCAAGACAGTAAATTCAAACACTTTGCTCTCAGGTAATGAAGATTCATCAACTGACGAGGCGCAGCAGAAATGTTGTGTGATGCATCCACAAGAAAAAACGAGCAAATGATCATGCTTCCGACGAAGCTGACCATGCTTTCGACAAAGCTCGTCAATGAATCCTAAATACAAATACTAAATCAGTGGATGTTTTGCAAAAACGCATCCAAAATCCCATGCGTGTCATCTTGATTCTCCAATAATTACATGTGTTTCCGCTATCCAGGATCATCATCCAAAATTCAAGTGCATGATGTCTTTGACATCCTGGTTTTGAACGCACACCCCAAAATCCAAAATACCAAAAAAACACCAACAATTTCCAACATGCAACAACCCCTCCACTAATGCCAAAACGCCTGCAGCTGGGAGTTGAACCACGGGGGGGAGGGGGGGGCCTTAGCGTGATATAACGCTAGAGTGGGGGGGCCAGGCCCCCCCCCTTAGTGTGATATATCAAGGTTTAAGGCACGCAGCTCATTCCACTACCAATTGCTAAAGCAAAGAAGAACTCAGCTAGCGTGCTAGCTTTCGTGATAGCACTGGCGATGGCCTCCAACCTAATAGCACTGGCTATGGCCTCCAACCTGAAAGCAATGGCCTCGAACCTGAAAGCAATGGCCTCCAACATGATAGCAATGGCCTCCAACCCAATAGTGATGGCCTCCAACCCAACAGCGATAGCCTCCAACCTGAGCCATGGCCTCCAAACTAATAGCGATGGCCTCCAACCTAATAGCACTGGCAATGGCCTCCGAGCTGAAAGCGATGGCCTCCAACCTAAAAACAATGGCCCCCAACCTGAAAGCAATGGCCTCCAACGTGATAGCAATGGCCTCCAACCAAATAGCGATGGCCTCCAACGATGGACTCCAAGCTAATAGCACTGGCGGTGCCCTCCATAGCGATGGCCTCCAACCCAATAGCAATGGCGTCCAAGCTAATAGCACTGGCGATGGCCTCCAACCTGAAAGCAATGGCCTCCAACCTGAAAGCAATGGCCTCCAACATGATAGCAATGGCCTCGAACTCAATAGCGATGGCCTCCAACGCAACAGCGATGGCCTCCAACCTAATAGCAATGGCCTCCCACCTAATAGCGATGGCCTCCAACCTAATAAGGCTGGCAATGGCCTCCTCCAACCTGACAGCAATGGCCTCCAACCTGAAAGCAATGGCCTCCAGCATGATAGCAATGGCCTTCAACCCAACAGCGCTGGCCTCCAACCTAATAATAGTGATGGCCTCGAACCTAAGAGCGATGGCCTACAACCTAATAGCGATGGCCTACAGCCTAGTAGCACTGGCGATGGCCTCCAACAAGGGCCCCCGACGTAATAGCAATGGCCTCCAACCCAATAGCGATGCCCTCCCATCCAACAGCGATGGCCTCCAACCCAACAGCGACGGCCTCCAACCTAATAGCAATGGCCGCCAACCTATGGCCTCCAATCTAACAGCGACGGCCTCCAACCAAATAGCGATGGCCTCCAACTCAACAGCGATGGCCTCCAACCCAACAGCGATGGCCTACAACCTAATAGCGATGCCCTCCAACCTAATAGCACTGGCGCTGGCCTCCAACCTGAAAGCAATGGCCTCCACCCTACTAGGGATGGCCTCCAACCTAATAGCGATGGCCTCCAACCTGAAATGGCACAAAGCACCTCTCTCTTTCAGCAGCCGCAAAAAGCATGCTTTACAGAGACTCCAATCATGCCAAGCAAAAGTCTCATCCTCATCTCCCCACAACTTTGCCAGGCGTTCAAATATTGTGCCAGATTTGACTCCGGCTGAGAAGCGTGGCCATTCTGACCCCGAAGTGGGCCCACATCCGCATATCTAAAGAAAAGGAACGGCAGCACATCTGGCACTGATGTGATGCAATGGCAGCACCCCGCAAGAAGCTACTTTCAGCAATAATCACCTGTGCATACTTCTGGACTGATGCGTTTGCGCCTAGGCAGTAGTTATAGTTTAATTCAACGTCAAATGCATATCATTCCGACAAGGGCACCTTCCGGCATACAGGCAAACCCACTGTTTCGAGAAGCTACTGGGGCTATGAAGCAGTGGACGTGGAGGAAAAGGTGTTGCTATCCAAACACACGGACATGAACAATGGTAATGCCCATTGTATATATCTCTAGAAAGTCAAAATCCAAAGGTCCATTCGGACCTCTTTCAAGGAGCATTGCAAGGAGAAAATAGTGCTCAGCTTACTTTACTTCCAACCTGTCTTCAATAAAACTAACGGTTGAAAGATGATTTTGAGGACATTCAGCCGCAAATACTGGACAAAAGGCACCCTACCGTGGCAAAGTGGAACTGTAAACAACACTTGCCAAAAAAATCATGGCCTCATGTGTCAAACTTGACAATGGACATGTATTCCTGTTCGCCTTTCATACATGCTTCTTGATACTCTTCAGTACTGCTCCTGCTGTGCCACCGTGAAAGCATTGCTGAGCTGTTGGAGCTTCTGCCTTAGTTTGCTGCGTTGCGAGTGAAATTGACTAGCATAAATACGCATATGTATGGTCCAGCAAGAGGCTAAAAGGAATGATTTGAAATTGTCAATAGCGTGTGTTCTACTGGATTAACAAATACTTTTGACAGTCGCAACATGACATTGCCTTTACCATCCAGGTCCGACATGAAAAACTTGACCTGAGTCTCCAATCCTTTTGGTTGCAGGGCCCCTCAAAAACGATACTTTCTCTGGCCCGAGCAAGCCCCTCACCAAGTGGCTTCACGGTTTCCATTCGATAGAGCTTGTCAAGGGGAGCGAAGGGGTCCTACGGAACAAATGAAGGTGAAGGCGTAGAGCAAAAAGCTTTGCATCGTTCTGCCTCGTGAAGGTCGGCCTCTGGCCCAACGTCGATGTCATCCGGTTGCAAGGCAAGTCCGTTGCCTCTAAATCGGAAACCAACGTTTGCAGCTAGTAACAAGGACGCTACTAGGAACAAAGGGCATCGCTGGTAGGAGCAAGGACGCTACTAGGGGCTCTTGGCCTTACTACTAGGAGCAAGGACGCTACTAGTAGCTCCTGGCATTAAGTTCTGCGACTTTGTATTCAGCGCCGAAAAAGCTTAACAGCCAGCCTTGAGCCGATGCCTTGAGCCTTGAGAAACAAAACTGGAAACAAAGGGCCTAGTAGTGCTGTGCAAGGGCAATGGTAAACATACTAGTGGGGCTTTTTTTATTGAACAATTGTTTTCCTTTCTTCCTTTCCTTTCGTAACAGCGTTTCTTTTCCATGTGCGCTTTTCCTTCTAAGTCTTGATTGCTTCGGACTGGACATGTTTCAAAAGGCGAGGAGCATTGCCGACTTCAAGAGATTTTCCACCGCCCCGGCGTTGCCAAAGTTTGCAGAACTCTGGCGGAGCATTCCAAGCTTCCTCAGAGCCTGACATGGGTTCGCAGAAGTCAGCATATTTTCAGCGGAAAATGCAGCCGACGAAGAGGATGAGATTGAAGGAATCGAAACACAACACGAGAAAGCAGCTAAACCAACAAAGTAGGCTTGGAGATAGATGCTCCTGCAAGCTCTCGCCCACAACCAACTGCGCCTTCTCTTGAAATTCGATGCTTGGCTTCAGATCTTTCTGCTTGCAGTTTAAGCGCAAGATTTCCATTAGCTCCTGCGCTTCTCAGTCTACATGAGGGACCAAGAAGTTACCGACTGTCCTGGTCATTGTAGTCTTCGAATCGGAACGCCATCTCTAAGGGAAATCGCCTTGCCAATCCAGGTCAAACGATTCGCAGGGAAGCTTCTAGTTACTAGAAAGCTCTATTACTAAGAAGCTTCAAAGACATACTGAAAAGCTTCATTGTTACTACAGGTGAAACGATTCCCAGGGCAAATCGCCTTGCCAATCCAGGGTTCTGATTTCGCAGCATTGCCGACATGGGTTCCTGGCGCTCTTCAGCCGTGCGCTAAGCCGCTAAGCTGCAGTGAGAGGGCTCCTCATAGCCCAGCAGCAAGACCGCGATGTCATCATTCTCCGTTCCTTGGATCTTCTCCACCAACACATCCAACACCTGCAACAGCAACAGCGGGGTAGGCCGTAGCCTACTTAATTAAGGAATAGCTACCTAGCTAGTAGTAGCAAGGTAGCTACATACTACTGGACGCAGATCAGATTTGGCTCCTTGATTTTTAGGGAAACTTAACTAATAGCGATTTGGTGAGGCTTGATCTTTGTCTTTCGCAACATCAGAACCATCTAAAGATCTAAAGAAAGAACAACCAAAAAAACACACATATAAAGAAAACCTTCAATCTAGAGTCATAAGGTCGGCTTTGGACTCCTTAAAATCTCCGCAACCCTGTAGCAAGCTCAGGACGGCTATTCTGCTCCAGCTCTTCGTTGGATGCATGCTGTCATCTTCCTTTTATTTCGTTTCTTCTTAAGCGTTCTCATCACCCTGGGGCTCTTGGCCTGCTTGCCATAGAGGTTATCATCCAAGTTATAAGCCTCGTCAATGACCAGGACTTTCCCTGCAGCCGACCTCACAGAAATAAAGCCAAGACTAAACATATTTTGAGAAACGAGTCCACAAAGGAGTGACCAAAGCAACAAAGTATACCCGTGCCCACTTCTACCACAAACTTCTGGAACCCTGTTCTTCATTTCCTTCTTCGTTTCTTTCTTTCTTTCTTTTCTTTTTGTTTCTTCTTTAGACCGAACTTTGCACCCTTTTCTTTCTTCCTTTCTCTTCAGCCTGAGCTTTGGAATAAAGAATGCCAAGGCACTGAAGAATGCTGAGGACCTTTTGCTGCGCTTCTCCGACAACTGCACCACCCATGTCACCAGCAGTCTTGAAGACCACTTCGCCAGAAGTCAAAAAGCCCAAGTGCTTCAATATTTCTCCATACATGCTGGCGCAGGTGGTTTTGCCTAGCAGAATCTCTGATCACAAGTTGTTTCGAGTTGAAGCATGTTGAAGTGTACGCCCTCTTAGTGCAGGCCATCGCTACTAGGGTGGAGCCCATCGCTAGTAGGTTTGTCATAAACGACCTTCCCAAAGCGCCTGTGCCAGGATTTCCCAGAAAAAGCCGATTCAGGAAAACGGGTAGCGGAGCTTGACCGTCAAGTTCACGCTGATAGTTGGTGCCGCACACAGTAATGAGCTCCTTAACGGCCTCTTTTATCTTCTTCCAGCCGATCTTCTTCTCCATTTTATCCAGAACAGTCTTCAATTTGGCGTTACCGCGAGGGTCCTGCGCTGCTTTGCGACTTTGGAAGTCAGTCCAGACCTATTCATACTGGCATGTTGCGTCCTCTCCAACCACGTCAGCAAAGCGAAGAATCCTCGGCTTCCCCATTGGAGGAAACGGATGCCAACCCGTGCGTGCTGGGCGGGGAATGGATTCAATTCTCTCTTCTTTCACGTTTTTAAAGGTTCGTAGCTAGCTGGGAAGCTACCAGTAGCAGGACGCAGGAAAGCTCAGGCTTCTTCAAGGAAACTCCACCCCGGCCCTGAAGGCGGCGGGGACTCTGGATTCAATATTGATTTCTAGTTAGAAGCCCTAGCGCGATTCATTTTGTTCCTAGATATTTGTTGAGACTTTGCTTATAAGTATGCTGTCTTACCTGACAGTATTAGACTCGCTCCAGGAATGGACGTGGCCGACCCTTACTGTTGGTGCTTCACATGTGAGCAGCGTTCGTTCTTGATCAAACAATGAGTGCGAGGTGCATGCTCGATGGCTCAAAGTCCTCCCGGCTCATGGCAACAGCTGTGGCCGTTTCGATCTTCTTTCGCACCTCCAAACACAATCGCAATGGCCTCCAGCGCTACTAGGGGCTCCTGGCCTTACTACTAGTGCAAGAAGCTACTAGGGGCTCCTGGCATCGCTACTAGGAGCAAGAACGCTAGTAGGTTGGAGGCCATTGCGCAACACACACCATCGCTTAATTAAGAGAACTGTAGCGCTTGGCGTCTAATGCCCCCTGACTACTTACAACAACACGACTTCTACTAGTACACTTTGTTCGCTTATTCTTTCAATTCTTTCTTGCGGTTTCCTGACCTCAGCCACTTGAAGACTTTTTGGGGTCCAAGCTGGTGCAACGCCTTAAACTATTCTTTCCGCCATTGCTTTCTCTCTCCTTTTCTACTTTAAATCCTTTTCAACGTTTCTTTGGGAAAAACGCCCGAAACCAACGGAACCTCTCTGGCATTGCCGAAGCCCTTCTTCCCTCGACTCTTCAAAATCCTGTGAAGATAAGCCAACCCTCAGGTTCATTGTAACACCAATTCCTCCTATAGCTTCTAAAATAGATTTAAACGAGAAACTGTAAAGTGCTTGGCTCGTTGCTGGAATGCCAAACAGTGGCGTCCTCCTCACTGCGACGCTCGTCAGGCGAGGGTCTTCGTCGGTCCACCCGCGCTGCTGCATGTTCTGGCACCAAATCCTGAGATGGAAACATGTCAAACAGGACGCTCTGAAAGTAAGAACGCTACTAGGGGCGCTCCTGGCCGCTAGTAACAAAGGGCATCGCTACATCTTCGCCAAGTCTCTGAGACAGCTCCGCTTCATCAAAATCTTCAAAAATCACTTCATGAAAGCGGCTTTTCAATCCTGTATTGTAGGCGAAAAACTTGTTGTTCATGTCATCCTGGCACATCCAGCTGACCTAAATCATTGAAGCTACAACACATCCAAAGCATGATGGGCACTTGATTCATGTCCTCGTATCCTGCCAGAATGACGGTCAACCGATCCCGCTCGTTCTCGGTGAGGGTGACCAATTCATTCACAATTGGTGCACCTTTGAACTTATCCCCAAGCGGATCCAAGTCGTATGCCTCGTCAATGAAGAGCACGCCATCCATGGCGGCTTGCGCAAGCTTTCTGAATTCATCGATCCCGTCGTCCTTCACCTTCTGTGCCCCGCATTCCTGGAAAACATTCTGGCTTCGCAATTGAGAATCGTGCAAGACAGCTGCAAATAATCTGGCTACAGTCGTCTTCCCTGTTCCAGGGTTTCCAAGGAAGCAATAGTTCCTTGGCAGGAACGGCATTGACAACATTGACGGTCAGATGAGAACTAACTAATATCAAATGCGACAAGTGAATGCGCCGTAAGAACGCGCCGACAATGTCACACGGCAACAATGGCAAGTTGCGAAAGTCTATTACGTGCAGCTCAAGAGACAAGGCCATGGCATTCGCCTGGCGAAAGCAACTGGGCGCGAAGCATATCTTACGCTCGCTTTTTAGGTCTTGGAAGTGACAACGAAACAAAAGAAACAACAGTGACAACAAAATAGAGTTGCTCTATTAAATTCGATTTCTAATAGCTTCTTGTTCCTAGTAGTAAGGCCAGGAGCCCCTAGTTGCGTCCTTGTTC